AGGGCATCTCCGCACTCCTCGACATGTCCAATTTTCTCAAAGTCCTTCGTTTGATGCAATATCCAAGACTAGCTGTGCTTTCAAAGCTTTGCAACTGGGACCAAGTGGACTTCCAGCCGCAAGGAGGCGTCAACGTGCATGATGCTGATGCCCCACTAAACCTTGCGTGCCAAAAGAACTGGTCTTGGGTTTGAAGCCTGGCAGTTTTTATGGACCAAAACGCACATTGATTCAAGGCGTGCTGTCTGAGTCCCATAACTGTATAAGAATTAGTGTGCTGATCAAGCACACCGGTGTGAGCTTGCACGCTGCACAACCATGTCAGGTTCACACAACCAAGGGACCCACCCGCATCTGGAAATGGTTTCTACCGTCTTGTACCGAGGTAGTGATCCCACACTGGCCAGCTCTGCACCGGCGGAAGCAGTTTTTTGATCGATGACTGCATGTGCACATGCACCTGACGTGGAAAAGGACCATCTCACAAGGGCTTGGAAATCATTGCTCCATTGCAATTTGTTGTTCCTTCTCCAACAAGCCAACTGCCATGATTCACAGGGCACTGGATGCGCAAGACGTGGCCGAACTTGGCTCCGAGGCCATATTGTTTGTGACTTGCGGATGCTAAGCCACTTATGTTTTTTAGTTGGGATTTTGGGTTGGTGTTAGGATTATTTTGGAGCTTTCGGTTTTAAACGGAATGAAATGATCATACTTCAGAAAAAGAGTGGTTGTTGTCAAAAAGTACCGTGTTGGAAATGTGGAAGTGTGAAACACAAGAACAAACCACACAAAGCAAATTGGATCGATATTCGATTCGAACTCACTGACTAGTCATGCAAGTTGACCGCCTGAAGCTTACTTTACATCTCTGCGTCAGAGGGAACAAAGTTTGTCCCACTTTTGTTGCTTTCACATCCTCCTGCTAACAATGCTCCCCGTGGTCGGGATAAGACCACTTGATAGCTTTGATGGTCGTTTCGAGTGTGTTCGCAGCCTGCAAACTTCTTTCGCCGCCTCCTTCTCTCTCTCACCCTTGCCCCTCTCATCCTTGTTCACCACGTCATCAGACACTTGAAAACACACCCACACCCACACACGCACACCATCTTACCAGAAACCTTCCCCCCCTCCTTCTCATCCTCGTCCATCACATGATCACTTACTGCAGGGCATAACGGCCTCATATACCTTCTCTCCTCAACTCACTACTCCGTCTCCCATGTGATGTTCATCACATTTGCAATTTGAAAATCATCATGTGGGGTTATGCTGTCCTTTGGTTTGGACTTACGATTGTTTGCCTGAAGCGAATCGGATCGAAATCCTAGGAGTCAAGACAACCCAGTCGTGTTTTTCTTGACAGGGCACAAGTCAGTGCCCAATCTTTTGAGAAAAAAAATCTGTTAGTTGCTATGGAAAACGCGAAGCAGCGTTGTTTTGGACGCTTTTCACAGGAGCATATCGTCACAGTCTGTCCAGCTCGTCACGTGGACTACTGCATAAAAGGAGGGTGCCAACCACTAGCTTGTTTGCATCACTGAAAGATTCACTTCCGGTAGGGTTGGGGGTCGACGAGTCAACGCAGTCTGCTGCAGACGTAGCGCCTTGTAAAACTGTGGATTGGGAAGCACTACATGGGATACAGGAGGTCTGAGCTGTATCCGGCTGGTAAGTGCCTTGCGCACACAGATTGCATGTTGCGCCCCCAGAGGAGCTAGCAAAGGAGCCACTCGGACACGGCTCACACTGG